TGTTCCCTCATCCAGGTCACTGGTGAATATACTGAACACCACTGGCCCCAGCACTGACCCCTGAGGGACCCCGCTAGACACAGGCCTCCAAGTAGACTCTGGCCCATTGACTACAACTCTCTGACTTCTTCCCTTCAACCAGTTAGCGACCCACCTCACTACTCCGGCGTCCAGACCACACTTCCTCAGTTTACCTACGAGGATGCTGTGGGAGACGGTGTCAAATCCCTTGCTGATATCCAGATAGACCACATCCACTGCATGGCCACCACCCATCCACCTGGTTATGTCTTCATAAAAGGCTCTCAGGTTGGTCAAACATGACTTCCCCTTAGAAAGCCATGCTGACTGCTCCTAATGACCTTCTCATCCTTGATATGCCCAGAGACAGGCCCAAGGATAAGATGTTCCATCACCTTTCCAGGGATGGAGGTGAGGCTGACCGGTCTCTAGTTACCCTGGTCCTCCTTCCTGCCCTTCTTGAAGACTGGAGCTACATTTGCTTTCCTCCAGTCTTCAGGCACCTCACCTGACAGTACAGTTTCTTGTACCATTCCACACTGGAAGCTGAACTAAGCTCTGCATCCAATTATAAATAGTTTTAGTAAACAGAGAATTAAAACTAAGACCTAGTTGCTTAGACCTATCTGAGATATTTCTCTGAGTTTAAAGGCAAACTCCAGTTTCGCCCATAGTACCACTACAGCCAGTAATTCCTTACCCAATGTAAAGCTGACTGTAATATCAAATATGACTGGATATAAAATATCTCAGTAGCAGAAGGGAAAAGGCAGGAGAAATGAATCTGCCAGAGATATTTGCAGTTACTAACCTGTGAGATGAAATTTGATTTCAGAATTACAGGGATGTGAAATGTCACCTTTTATGTGCAATGATTAAACACGATCCTGCTGTTGCAAATTTTTTCCTCTGTTGAATCAAAGAAAAAAGATACAACACATCAGAAAATCCCAGGAGTTTTGTCCATCCACAAATCCTGATCTGTTTTACAAGACAGTATTACTGCATTTCACTGCTGTGTCTCTTTTAGCTCTGCGTTCTCCCTGGTCTCTGATTTTGTGAACGGATTTCGCCCTTCCCCACCCTGGGAGGAGTCAAATGAAGATTAACCTGAAATGCATGCAAACAGCTGTCCTGAAACCATGGGCAATTTAAAAGTGCCCAAAACTGCAATGGGCTTCGTGTCCCCGGCAAGAGGACACGGGCAGACTGTGCTCTGGTGCCACAGCTGTGCAGTGATCCTCAGCTACCTGCCTGTCTCATGGGGCAGAGACAGGCACCCAGCACAGGGAGAAGAGGCACAGACTTCTGCAGTAGCTTAGCAGTGAGAGCAGCCAAAAGGACGTAATCAATGCCATGTGCAAGTTGTCCCCAAATCCTGCCAACGACCCTCATTATTGACACCAATTGCCTTCTCACCAACAAGCACCTTCATACAGTCTTGGTTTCAAATGGGTGCTGGAGGGGAGCCAGTCTGGTGGGATGCACTCCTCCAGCTGCAGAAGCGCACATAGCCTGGAGTTCTGCTTGCAAAGAAAAAATCAGTGTTTCATGCTGTATGGGCCAAAACAGGCAGGACACATGAACGACCACAAACCATGGCTGAAATACAAAGAGTAAATTTATTTTCCTTATCTGACAGTCTGGAGAATCTTTGCAGCAGCACCCAGGGGGAGGCACAAGCAGTGATCACACGAGCTGCATGACAGCAGCACTGCAGGCCCAAGTAGATCTCTCTGTGCTAGAAAGCGTGTTATTGAACCCGCTGCTCTGTTACATTGAACCTGCTGCTCTGAGTTCCCAGGACTCACATGACAGCTTTGCTTTGTTCCTTCCCACAGCAGGGCAAGGATGTAAGAGATGCCTCTGCCATCCCAGGCTTCTGTTACCTTAGAGTGGGAGTGACACTGGCCAAGCACACAAGGCAAAGTAGTAATCTAGTGTGATGTATGTTTTCCAGCACCTCAGCTACACGTCACTTGAGTGCACCTGTAATGTTCCTCACCAGCTGTCACATTAAAAGGAACGCAGCTTGTCTGTCAGAGTCCCAGGACTTTCACGGATCCCTCTATCAGAGTCCCAGCAAATGACTTTCACTGATTAGATTCACACAAAACAAAATTATTTTATTGAGAGCAAGTGAACAGATTCGAGATCGCTGTTTTACGTTCACTAACTCCAATAACACTACTCATTAAGGTTAACATTGCTAAAAGAAATAATATAACAACCTAGGGGTTACATGCACCAGAGGGTGAAAGGTTCGGCGCTTACCCAGAGAGGCGTCCCTGCCTGGGGTGGAGGAAAAGAGCGCAGCCCGTCGACTGGTCCATCAAGTGTGGAGCTTCTCTCCGAACTTAACGGTCATTTTCTCCCTCTTTTTATCTCCAGAATTACGAGGTTTCTCCCCCTCACAGGTGGCACACAGTATGATTTGGGTGGAGAGATGAGTGCTCTAGTCATCCATATTTAGCATGATCTGTATATTAGCATATGCAAGGGTGGCAGCTTTCACAGGTAATGAGGCAAAGGTTAGTCACTGGGCATGAGAAGCTTTCACAAAACCAAAGAACCACACCAGCTCCTGTGACCTTGTCTTTGCTGACCAAAAGCAGGGCTGTCCTGTCTACACAGGGCCTCCTCCTCAGCTGCATCCCGTGACAGCCTGGCGAGTCTCCAACCTCCTGGATTGCACCAAATGTACCCTGGGCGGCATCCAGTGAAGCATGGCCAGCAGATCAAGGGAGGCGATTCTGCCCCTCTAGTCTGCTCTTGTAAGATCCCACCCACAGGGCTGTGTCCTGCTTCAGAGCCCCCAACATAAAAAGGAAATGGACCTGTTGGAGCGAGTCCAGAGAGGGCCACGGAAATGATCAGAGGGCTGGAGCACCTCTGCTGTGAGGACAGGCTGAGAGTTGAGGCTGTTCAGCCTCGCTCCAAGGCGACCTTATAGCAGCTGTCCAGTACTTAAAGGGGTCGGCAACAATAGTTTTAGCAGGGCCTGTAGAAATATGACAAGGGGTAATGGTTTTAAACTAAAAGAAGGTAGACTTGGACTGGACATAAGTAAGGTTTTTGCAATGAGGTGGTGAGACACTGGCACAGGTTGCCCAGAGAGGTGGTGGAGGCCGCATCCCTGGAGACATTCAAGGCCAGGCTTGGGGGCACTCTGAGCATCCTGATCTAGTTAAAGAGGCTCAGCTGGATCACCTGGAAAGGTCCATTCCAATCCAAACCCTTCTATGATATTTCTCTTATTGCTGTGGTACCACTAACCACAGCCATGTAGTGGCATTGATGCGCATGGAACAATCCCAGTTACAGAAAAATGTATTAAGCAACAACAACACACTACTCACACGTCAGTTACAAATACACACTTTCCTCCAGCACAACCGCAACTTAAGGAGAAAAACTGCACACCATATTATTAACTTTCTAAAGAATGGAAAGGACGAGAAGGACTTAAGCTTAACTGTTGTATTTTCCCCTCCATACATTATGAAAACCTCTTTCAAAAAGGAATACAAAATAATCCATCGTACAACATGTGCTCAACTTAGAAACATATAAAAAAAATCTGTGGCAGAGTACAAACTGGTATTAATACAATAGGAGTTTTATTTACACTATCTGTATGGGATATCAAACTTTTTACACGTACATTTGTCTCTTCTTTCAGAAGGGCCAAGCTTCCAAAAATCAACTTTTTGGAGGTATTAATCTTAATAATCCCCACAAATTCTGAAAACTTAGTGAATTTTTACTCAGGAAACATCCTGTACAATTGCAAAGTAAATTAAAATGTGTAAAAAATAAAAATAACTTAACCAGTGTCACTCTTATCTACAGTCTCTTTCAAACTATTTTCAGTCATCATTTATTATTCTCTTTTTATCAATACAGATTTATCTCATGGCTCAGGAGAGGCAGGGAATAGCTTGTAATTTAGTATTCAGCTCAGGTCTGATACTGCAAAGTTAAGTGGAAGCTGAAGAGAGTTGTCACCATGCTGACACAGCATTTTCAGAGTTGGCCTCCTAGCCCAGCTAAGTAGCTAAAGCCACACTTGCATGCAGGTGATACTCTCTTCACTTAGGCCTTTAATCTATTCAGGCAAGTCAGTGGTTGATACTCTGTTGTACTCAGTCGCTGTCAAACTCTTCTATTTTCAATTCATCTTCCTCCATGCTTGCTTGCACTGCAACAGGCTGAGGCTGACTGCAAGGCAGTTCACCTCCACTGCACTGGCTAGAAGAGAGAGGGAATCCATCCGATTCGTTCTCATTTGTTGCGTTTTTCTCCATCTGTGCAGCCGTCTCCACATCATGCACATCAGCACCGTCCTCCTCAGAGCTAACAAATAAGTCTGGTATCCCAGGGTCTTTATCAGTAAGCGTTTCAAGCTTTAACCTGTAAAATTATCATTGCAACAATAAGTTGCCACAGAAAAAAAAAAAAAATTCTACCTTCTCATACAGAACTTGCATTAGAAATGACTGTCCATGTACCGCATGCCCTTCTTCACTGCTGCTTAACAGGTTTCACATTTTCTGGCAGTAATACTCTCCCACACCACGTGTTTCCAGTAGTGCAACGGTATATATACACCTGGCTTCCAGATATAGATACTTGTGCCCAGAACTCAGTACCACACAGCTTACGTGACCGCCTGCAGAACAGACCGGAGTTCTCCTCAGGGAAAGGATGGGCCCTACAAAGCCTCAAACCACAGCAACAGCAAAACCAGATCGCGCTTGTGCTCCCTCACTCCCCAGTATCCAGGGTTGCCTGAATCTTCTTCACTGTGGTGGTTTTGCTGAGCTTTCCTCACGCACACAAGCTGCTCAAAAGTTAATGACAACAGGCCACAGTACCCGAGATCCTTCCTAAACTACACAGAAATCTCTCAGACAGGAAGCAGTTTAACTTGAAATAGGCAAATTAAAGATGAAATATAAAAACGGGAGTGGAAAGACTTTTCTATTTTATAATTTCTCTTACTATCTGGACTTTTCAATCCACCTAGCATCTCTGTATTGGTATGTCACCAATGTCACTTCATACAAGAGTAGTAAAAACTGACACAGTTATTCACAGATCTTAACCTGACACCAATTCTAGCTGATCAAATACCATGCACTCTCCTAATGCCAGTTTTGTTACAATACCATTCCCACTGCATTTATGAGTATAATAGAAAATGAATAAAAAAATGTTTCCATTGAAACAACTGCACACCAGTTACCTTAAAGACTGCTTAGTAACAAAAAATAAATTACTTGCAGTTAGAACTCCTGAAGGAGTCAAACGCTTTCGCTAAAACCCCCACATTTATCTCTACTTCCCTTCCAAAACAGCATACAAACGGTGCACAAATAAAAAAACATTATCATGTTTTCCGGAGAAAGTTATGCCTCAGATAAAACTTTAAATGACACACACCCAACTTACTGACGCAGATGCAAAACATTTACCCATATTTAAAGGTATACTGCAGACACAATTAATGGCATAAGAAAGTCCATAATTAATTTGTAAAGTTACAAACATTTTGGTTTAGATGATGGATATTGCAAAGAAATACATGCACTTGGGACACTTTCTTCCTGACTAGCAACAACAATGGCTTTTAATACAGTTGTGGGGAACACGCTGGTTCTTGGGTAACTACAGCCTTTACTTTACAGACCAGTATTTCACAGTTAGACTGCAATACCGCCGTTACAAACACAGTAAGCTTTGTCAAATGCCCTAATGCACTCTCTCTCTCTTGGTTCAGGGGTGAAACAGTCTCATTCCATCTGTGATCTCAATCCTTTATTAGAAACAGACTATCACAATTAAAACTCCTCTTAAATTTCAGATATCAATGTTATAGAAATGTAACTGAGGCTCTACCAGTATAAATGATGTCTACAATTCAGAAGGCTCACCAGAGTCACTATATAACCTGTCATGTTGTGTCACCCCATAAGCACTACTCAACCTGTAAGCACAGCAACACAGTCTGGCAGTTGAAATAAAAACTGCTTTTTCAGTATTTAACATCTAAGACAGAGGAACTTCAGTAGCACTAGTTTTATTTTTAAAATGCATTCTGAACAAAGGTTTACCCTAAGTAGTCAAATAGGCAAAAATTCCACAAATTAAAAACCTAATGCTGCTATCTAATTTCAGAGGAAGCACTCATTAAAATATTTTGTAGTGCCATAGATATACAACTGTTCCAGAGGAAGTACAGATAATTCCCCTTTATACTTTCTTTCTTTCTTACATCTCTAACTAACATGCAGGATGTTAACATTCTGTTAACACAGAATGTTCCATGAAACTTCTGTACTAATGTCTTATGTTATGATACACAACAGGCAAAGCATGCTTCTATCAATTCAGTTTTATTCTCACGTAGGTGCTTTTCATTGTAAAGAAGTATTTTAATCGGATCATGCACTGGAAAAATATAGACATGCCTAGGACAGAGCTAGTATTTGATATAATGGAAAAGAAAATTAAACAAGGACTAGAAGAAAGACTAAAATTAAATGTGGCTAACATTGCAATGCTAAATAGATTTGAATAAGTTTAGAAAAAGTTTTAACAGGCAAAATATAAAATTATCAGGCTGCAATTGTGGGAAAAACACTACATCACGGAAGATGTTTCTCTATGTATGGCTTCTCTTCCTCAATATATTAAAAAAAGAAAGAAAGTCTTATTTTCTTTAAGAAAAGACAGAAGTCAAGTTTACCTCCCAAAATGTCTTTTCAGTGGTAGCCTCCCAACATCTTGGATAAAAGAAATCTGAGCTAAGAACAAAGAATCGCCAGTATTACATTGGGTAGGTCACAATGCACAAACAATTAAACATACCGGAAAATAAATAATTCCTAGGTTTAGCCAAGTATTAGTGTATATCTCTGCAATATTTTGGATACCAAAACTGCACACATATGTGTGTGTTCATGGTTTTCTTTTCCAAACTGTTTAACACGTTACTACAACATATTTTTTTGACACCATCCCTCACAACATCCTTATGGCTAAGCTGGCTGCCCATGGCTTGGATGGGCACATACTCTGCTGGGGGAAACACTGGCTGGATGGCCGGGCCCAAAGAGTTGTGGTCAATGGAGTTAAATCCAGTTGGCGGCAGGTCACGAGTGGTGTCCCTCAGGGCTTGGTGCTGGGACCGCTCCTGTTCAACATATTCATCACTGATCTTGATGAGAGGATTGAGTGCACCCTCAGCAAGTTTGCAGATGACACCAAGCTGGGAGGGAGTGTCGATTTGCTGGAGGAGGGTAGAAAGGCTCTACAGAGGGACCTGGACAGGCTGGATCGATGGGCCCAGGCCAACTGTATGAAATTCAATAGAGCCAAGTGTAGGGTCCTGCATTTTGGTCACAGCAACCCCAGGCAACGCTACAGGCTTGGGGAAGGGTGGCTGGAAGGCTGTACGGCGGAAAAGGACCTCGGTGTTCTAACTGACAGCTGACTGAATATGAGCCAGCAGTGTGCCCAGGTGGCCATGAAGGCCAACGGCATCCTGGCTTGTATTAGAAATTTTGTGACCAGTGGAAGAAGGGAGGCGATTGTCCCTCTGTACTCAGCACTGGTGAGGCCGCACCTTGAGTATTTTCCAACCTGAATTGTTCTATGATTCTATGATCTAGTTTGCCTACACATTAAAAAAATCCACGATATTCATCAACTGTGTACTTATGACGTAAAGTTGTTATTCCATAGCCTACAAGACGAATGCATCCTGATGTCAAGACCTTAGCTAAGACATGAAGCTTTTTTCAGAAGTGCCTAACACAAGCAACCCAGTTTTCTAAACAGCAGTTTTGCAGTTATGCGCCACAGAAAGTAAACTTTTACACATGGACTATCTGCTGTTGGATTGCCTCAGGTTACACATCTAATGTACTGCAAACTTGTAATATTCTTACTTCTTCTGGGAAAGGGTTTCTGAAGCCTTTTAAGTCTATTAATGTTACTGAAAAGGGAGCAGTAAACAATGAAGATGTAGTTAATATTCCCTAGTAGGTTTTCAAAACTCTCCTCACCAAATCCTCTAGCAGATTTATGAGAAGCTATAAGAAGTTTGGTAAAAAATTAATGAATGGGAAGTGGTTAGAAGGGTATGATGCAGAGTTAACTCCTGCAGTGGAAAAAAGTGTTAGGACCAGTACATCCTTAATTGTGAAAAACAGAGGTTGAAGAGCGAGACAAGCAAGCCTGCCAATGTCACCCAATCAGAGAAGCTAGTAAGGATGTGGGCAGACAGAAAAACCTGTGCAAGCACCTTAAGAGACTGAGCAAGAGGGCAACATGATGAAATTCAAAAATACACAGATACCAGAAATCCATATGGTAAGAAAACAGAAAAATTATTTCAAATAATCCAACCTGAGGACTCCATCTTACACATTTATGAAGCACCATATACATATCTCTCTTACTGAGAGATTTAAGGTGTATTTTGAATCTTTCAGTTACAGAAGTTAATTTTGGCTACATTACCAGAAAGGCTTTTGGATATAGATTATTTGCATTGCTTAGGGTAACTGTTAAGACTCGATGATCTTAAAGGTCTTTTCCAACCCAAACAATTCTATAATTCTACAATTTACCATAAGTAATCTTTTTTTACTGAGGCAAAAGCACAGAGAGTATCAATATTTTGGGTTACAAAATTTTTCAGTATGCTTTAATTACAAAAGAGAGTCCAAGATCAAGAGCTACACCCATCTTACCTTGATTTCTCAGGGGATTTGCTAACATAGCAAGATAAGGCAATAGCTCTGTCTGAAGACACTCAGGTGCCAAACAGAAGCTTGAAAAGAGACATTTTGCAGCAAGGCAATTTTCCTGATACTACAAAGAGTTGGGGTAAAACAAACACAAGTTAAAAAACCAGCAGATCATTATTAGCATAGATATTTCATATTATAAAAGACAAACTTTCTTTTGCCTGGATGACTACACAGAAGCTACTGAAAAATGGGACCAGAACAAAATATAAGCAGATAGAGGTAATGTATAATCATAAAAATGGTAAATTCCTTCATTTTTTGCTTTTTGCCAGGCACTAAGACTTCCATAAAATATTTATTTATAGAATTCCCCACCATCCTGACCAGTATTTTTGCCAGATAGAGCAAGAGAAGTGTTAGTTCAAATGTAAAAAAAGCTGTGGTATCTCATGAACAAGCTATTTCTGATGAACACATAAAACATAACAGCAGCAATTTGTTCAACCTAAGTAATTTGTTCAATTAATTTAATGTGATTTAAACTGCACAAAAACTTACAACCTACTTTGAGGAATAATTTATAGTATTTTAACACTAAATGTGTTTCCATTAACTTAGGATTAAGATTCTCACAGCAGTATACCAACTTGGACATAGGAACTGGACTTTGTCAGAGGCCTCCATTTTATTTTTCTATTAAAAGAATAACAATACAAATGTCACTCTCCCAAAAAGTGCTTTGTAGAAGTAGATTATCTGACAGATTTAGCACGAGTAAATCTCATCTGTTCTACTCAATTGCCATACCTTGTCAAAAAACCAAAAAACAGGAAATCGTCGGCAATTACCTTTTTACTGATAAAGAACCACTGGGGTTTATGTAAAGGCCGGAACCCCAGCCCTCCTTGGTGGTGAGCAAAGGCTCTGGACGTATTTGAATGTATCACGCCTCGGGTAGCCACAGATGCACTGTATTTTTCCATTTCAAACCGTGTCTAAGAGAGAAATCAGATGTTACGTGAACGCTGGGTGTCTGTATAGTTTGTCTCATTTGAACTAAAACACGCTCTGCAATTGCAGTGACACAACACACCCAGAACACGTTTAGATTACTGTGAAACTTAAAGCAGCTGAAGGAAGAAAGCTTGCTCAAGGACATCAGGGAGAAAGCACACAGAATGCGACACATTTTTAGCCTAAATTTCTTATACTTAAAAGTATTTCGTAGAGTGTTTTACAAACACTATAACACACAATCATAAAATACTGACAGAAGTTTCACAAAAGGTTGGACCTGTATCTCTTCCATAGTTGATGTACTTTGGCATTCATTAACCATTCACTGTGACCTATACTGTAAATTTGAAGTGATACAGCTTAATTCATATTGACTTGTAAGAAAATTGCTTTCTACCATCCATAAACACTTTGGAGAAAAATTTAGAAAGTCAGAGTATAAAAAAAAAAAAAGTGTATATAAAAAGATGACACTTACACTCCAGTTGCTACAAAGGACATCAGCAGTGCTCAAATATTCACTAGCTCTCACCACATCATCTATATCAGAGAAAAAGTCTACATAGTTCTGGTGAAGGTACAAATTAAATATGCTTCCAGACATATGCGATTTTTCCACGATATCCTAGTAGGGGGAAAAAATGTTGACGTTTTACACGTTGCATAAGGAAAAGCATCCTTTAAAAGTTACGATACATTTAGCTGGTTAGGGAGCTGGCACACATCATCTACAAAGTGACGATTATCAGAAGAGGGAGGCTGGTTTGCTCCCACAGAAGGCTAATGGTGGGGATGGAGGGGCAGAAGCCACTGCCACCTTCACCTCTCTAATGGATGGCAACAGAAAGGTGAACTCAGACTCCTTGTGGCAATGCACAGCAAAAGGATGAGAGCTAACAACCAGGCTGCAGCAAGGGAAAGTCCACCTTCCACCACAATTCACTGGTGAAATAAGAGAGGCTCTGACCTTGGAGGTACTCAAACCTGACAGACCAAGAGTCTGGGAACCTAATCTACCTTTGAAGTTAGCCTCCAGAAGTTTTCTCCAGATTAATTATCCTGTTAGTTAGGCAGACTGCAGACACATGTATTAAGCTCAGTGAAAAAACCACTGTGCTTGAGAATTTGCATCAATCACTTAAGAGTTTTTTGTCTCATTTTCCTCAAACCAAACCAAAATGAAGTACTTATTGCAGACGTACCTCAGGCTGAATAAGCAAGGTGTCTCGACGGTATTCTGACAAGTGAGCAGGCAGCTGGGGATGTTCCGATTCTGGCACTGGTTCTCCTACAAAGAATTTTATAACCTTTAGTCTTTTAATACTAGAAATGTTACTACATTTCTGCACATAACCAAAAAAGCCAGGAGATTAAATACTCAAAATAAGAGTGAAACCTAGATAGGAGCAAGAGAACAGATACATGTAACTGCACGGATAGTAGTTTTCACATATATGGAGCATCATTTTTAACAACTTTAACTCTTCCAGCAACTAGACTCCCAGAAAGTCCCTGATGCAGGCATAAGTACTCTATAGTCAATACACCTAGTCAACAATGAGCAATTATTCACACTACATTTCATAAACAAATTTCATCAATTATTTTCATATTCCTCTCTCTCACAATTTCTCCTCTGTTGATTTTGGAACTTATAATGCTATAATGTGGAGAGCCAATGGCAATATGGAATCTGATTTAGCTGACTAAAGATAATAGTAGTTTACTAAGTACCAAATGTTTATGAGCTATAGTTTATAAATTTAAAAAAAAACTTTAAAAAAGTACTGTAATCACACACAGGGGGCAGATCAGTGCTGTAAATTTACAGAACTTGAGTGTATAAAAAGTAGAATTTTCCGTAGTAGTAAGGTAGGAAGTATTTTGGAGAGTCAGAAGGGAGACAGATTATGACAGAGAAGTGGAAGAGGTTTTCAGGTAAGAAAGGAGAGAGCTCATATTCCTATTAAAGGGAAACAGAAAGTTGAGATAAAAAGTAGGGAGGAAAATACAGCAGATACACAAATCATGGAGGCAATACCTTCAGGGCTTCTGTAACTTTCAAGAATACAGACAAGTACAAAGCGTAACTGTAGAACAAAGTACAATTCTGCAGAGAAGCAAAATTTGCTTTTGTAAAAGCAACAAATGTAGTGGCTACTTACCTAGTTTTGTGTGCGTGACAGCACATGGACATAATGCAACTAGAGCTATGTAATTTTACGACATACATGTAGTTTATGTCCAATGAAACATTTATTTGCCTAACAGATACAGGCAGTTGCAATCTCAGCTACCACAAACGTTTTTTAGTGTTTTATACTGCTACTAATGACCAAAACAGTGAATTAGAGGTTTGCTTACTTTAGCAAATCTAGCTATTAGCAGCCTGCCCACTGAAGGGAAGAATAAGTCAAAGTTTTCTTACTTTTGCAGTAAATTATTTTCCCCAGAGCATGGAAAAGAAAGATGGAAGCATCTTTGCCACCAATAGCTTGTATCTCCTGGTCTTCTGAAGTATCAGATTTACTTTTCTTTCTTACTTTAGATACTGCTGCTGCTTCACATTTTAGTGTAGAGCTCTTTTTCTTCCTTGACCAAAATTCCTTCTCCAAAGAGCAATCTATCAATAAAAGCAAAAAAAAAAAAAGATAAAGTATATGAACCAAAAAAAAAAAGTTTTCTTTTATATTGCTACTACTAATGTTCGAAACAAATAAATAAAATAATAAAAATAAAAAAAGAATAGAGAAGGTTATATAAATAGGGGCACCAAGAGAAAACTCATCCAGAGGAAAACTACCCAATCACATAAACTAGCACACTTCATTTCATTTCTGTGCCTTAAGCCAGAGCTAAGGTGCCAAGTAGTTTTTTGAATATCTGCCTTTAACAATATCTTTATTTAAAAGAAGCTAGCACTCTTGTGTATTCATTCCAGTTCTGAATCATCCCCAATTTGCCATTCTTAAAATTTTCTCCTTTATAAAGTACATGTGCAAATATATGTAAATTATACTTCACTTATATTCTGTTCACTTATCAATTTATTTTACATTTGCAGTACCTGTATAATACCCTCACTAAAATACAAGGCAGCAAAGAAAACCTTGAATTTAGGTGGTTTTTCCAATAGCCTACCAACTTCCACAATGTTTTGAGCTCCAAGGAATAATCCTCTTCTTCTGCTCTAATTTAAAATAGCAAAATATTCACCCACAATTTGATTCATTAGCCAGTGAATGTTCCTTATCAGGCTAAAATAACCTATCCTTTAAGTATTTATCTTTCTTATCTCCCACAATTATCAGGGATCCATTTTACAACTACTAAACTACAACAACTAAAAAATTTCTACTGAACACAAAGGCAGCTCTTCTCAGTCTTTTAGAGAAAATGTGACAATGCTCAGTGCAGTGTGACTCGAGTACCTGATTCTGAGAAGCCATGTACAGAAGCTGCAAAACCATATGCCTTTGTTTTCTTCCAAGTTCTCTTTATAACTCTTGTGTTTTTCACATTTCCAAATAATTTAACGAAAGGTATTTAGACTTCCTACAGTATGTAGAAGCTACTCGGCATACAGCAGCAAGCTACTGCGAATTTTTCTCAGGTATCACCAGCCTACTATTTATTAACTTAATGGCATTATCATCAAAATGGTTCTACTGAGAGGAACTTTCTATTTTTCTGATTAACACAGAACAATACAAACTTAGTGTACTAGGAGACAACACTGGAAGAATTTAGTTTGCAAGTTAAACCTAGACACTTTACTGTCTCCCACATGTAATTTAACAAACACAGCTAAGTCCAATATACTCTCAAACTACAACACTTCCTCTTGCAAAAAAGACTTGAAACTACATTTAGAAACTACATTCAATCTCGTATTCCACAAGCACATTTTCTATTTGTAAGGTGAATGGAAAGGAAAATGAGTAAAAGCAATGAGATCACTGCTAGCTTTACAACATGTAGCAGAAGACCACTGCTGGATCCAATTCCTAGATGGAATACTAACGTTGGCACCATCCAGCAGTTCTTACAATTAATTACACAAGCCAGAACACTGCTTTTAAAAATAATCAATTATGTAACTTGCATACATTGGTTTCTTAACAATTACTGACTTCCAGTGCTTATAAAAAAATATGACAGTAAGTCTCCTGTTTTCTTTTGATGTTGGAACATTTAAAACAACCCTGAACTAAGTCCAATTTGAGCACTGGCCAGCCAAGCACTTTGAAGATGACTACAACACTGAACTTCAAATTTATTCTGTAGAATAAATATATTCAATAACTTCATAGTAGATCATGCCACCTCACAGCCGTAGGAACTTCAAAGCAAAATAAACCATTACAGAAATGCTGTAGACAGAGTCAACAGACTATTTCAGAAAAGTGCTACAGTCAGAGATAAGGACACAGAGATGTAAAAGAATGAAGCAATGAAAATAATGCTTTCAAATTAAGGTTGCATTGTAAAAGCTTTGAACAGTGAGTGCACACCAACAGCAAAGATATGAAGAAGACGGCATTTCATTAAGTTACATCACGTGTGCATAACAGATATTACTCAGTTGTAAGACTACATATAACAGTCATGAAACAGAATGTTTAACACTTAAAAAATAGAAGAAACAATTTTATGGTTTTTCTTCCTGCCCTAGAGCAGCATGTCAGAAAGGTTTTGCACAGCTGATCTAACTGTGCTGCAACAGTGAACAGTAGCAGGAATTGTCAAAACGTCATTCACTTAACAGAATTACAGATATTTACCTTTCATAGAAGAAAACTGAAGACTGTTTATTGCACTTCTTATATCACCTGAACAACCTCTGCAAAGCACCTCCAAAGAAGTTCTATCAAGAGCATAAATCTTTTCTCTGTTCTACAAGAAAAAGCAACAAAGTAGTAGGAAAAAGCAGGAGAAGTATTTTAATATTATTCTGGCTGTGGTATCCTTGTGATACACACCATAGACTAAACGAGCAGCCACCACATGCTCAAATCGTGAAATACTGCTAACTCCAAAATAACTAGTCCATTTAAGCACATTTCCACATTTTATACAGCAATATAAAAAGAGGATAATACACAAACTCTTTGCAAGGTGCCACTCAATATTAGACTTGGTTGTAATCAAAACAGTCCGGAAATAATAGAGGATTTAGGTTCATGACCTCTTCTAGCCATGCTGGATACAATGAAAATCACTTCTATTCCTATTATTCGTTTCATTCCATTTGTTTCATGATATACATTCATACATAACTCTCAAAACTTAATCAAAGATCAAGTGGAGCGAATCTTAAAAGCAAGACATCTTTCCAGGTTATTCCCTGTTTTCTGCTGGGGGGATTGCTGCAGGGTTTTGGTGGGTGGCAAAGTCTGCTATCAAAGACCAAACACAGTAACAAATATAAACAACATATTCAGATACAGAAGTGTGAAACATTTTGGTCCTAGCACTGCACAGAAGTTAACAGTTTTGATAACTTACCATACCAGCCTCTGTTGCAGCTATTCGGTTAAGAACTTTCATCATATTTGTTGGTGCAACAGGCTTGAAACTGTTGAATTTCATTAAAAAAAAATTAGTTTCTGACTTATCATTTATTTCAATCATGTTTTAATGAGACAGGAGATCTTACCTAATACTGGATATACACAGCTCCTCTAGAATTTCCTTTGGGAACAGTAATCTCTGGTTGCTGTCTCCACTGAAGTTATCTGAGATTATAAATACAAGGGGACATCGACTTGTGCGAACAAATCTCCTGAATTGAAAAGCAAGTATAACAAGAATCAAATTCCAGTTTACTCCAAGTGGCTAATGCTAATCATTAAAAACTTAATTGTAACTGACCTGAGAATTTCATGTAGACTGCTAGGGTCTCGATAGAACTGGTTAGGTACATCCTATTCAAAACAAATTAACTGCTGTCATTATATTCAGATATAAATACTCTCCCCCAGAGACTGACTCTTAAAGCACACTAAGTTGCTACACACTTTTTCTTCTTAGTTAGCTTATTTTTAGCTAAATCTGAATGCGGCTAACCATGAAGACAATCAAGGGCAAAGTATAAAAACGTGCATGGTACTTCTTTCATTTATTATTGAAAAAAATTATCTAAAAAGAAACATTTTCTTCTTGTCCTTGCTTCCTAAGAAACAGTCCTGGGTGATTACAGAGCCTGCTAGACAGAAGTTTTGCCCAGAGGATAAAGACTCAAGCAGCAGCTCCACCAAGGACAAGGACAGAATATACTACTTGACGTATGAGAGGACCTATGCAATTGAAGAGAGTTTAGTAAGAGAAGTCACAGAAAACTATGCTTCCTAAACTCTACATCACATTACTCAGCTAGAACTTTTATCTCATCCACTGATTTTCTTGAAAGTTCACAGACAACGTTGACTACCATAAAATTGCTCTCAAAAAATTAAAAGCTCAGAATGAAAATATTACTGAAACACACCTGAGTAAGTAGGAAAAAAACCCAAGTCTTTTGCTGTAACTCCTGTCACAGGCCTTCAGAGTTCACATCTCTGCCTTAAATAACGCCACCATCCCAACTCCTAAGTAAGACCAGGGAACGCTAAATTTCAAATGCTGTCCAATTATTATTATTAATCCTTGCCATCTTCTACACTCTCCCGCATCCTTAACCAACTGGAATAGTGGGGGTTCTTCCTCTTTTTCCTGTTAATACACAGAGACTTCTAGAAAGCTTACCATGCAGAAACAGGGCATGATTTTTCAATATTGTTTTGATCTACCTTTTGATATTCTATTACTTATTCCCATACATAAACTAGTCTCCAATTTCTGCCTGCCTTTTAACTTCTATAGTGTAATTACAGAACTTGGTTCTAGACTGCTTTAGAGACTCAGAAAGTAACAACTCATTTGCAGTAAAGCAGACTAACTTTTGGTAAGACCAATCCAGCAGCTGAAGCTAGTTAGCATGTTAATATTAGAACAAGACATATTGTTTTCAACACAAGATTTCACAATTTTTCACTTACTTCAATAAGAATAAGCTTTTTATCACTTTCTGAGGATTCCCCAAGCATCTGAAGTTTGGCATACTTATTTGCTCTTAACAGAAAATCTTGAAAGAGAGCTGCTTGGGCCTGACTCGGCAATGTATGAAAATTTGAGTCTGAAAAAGAAAACTAATTAAAAATATGTATTCTATATTACACCAAGTAGAATGTAAATACCTAGAAGAACTAACACCCACACATGCTATTTCTGACAGTAGCCAATGAACATCAGCAGCAAAGGCCTTTGGCAAACTCATGACAAATATAAGAAAATTTTTAAACAGCAGAATTCAACTGAGAACCCAGATGAAGAGAGAATCACCTGTTTTTACCTGTTTTGTTCAAATGATATCTAGGTTACTAAACAGCTCTTTATACTGACTTGAATTGCAAATTATTTTGGAGTAAACGCTGTAAAAAAATTAAATCCCTTTTGAGATAAAAGCAAAGGAAAAATTTTTACTACTTACCATGGCCAAACATATTTTTTAAGTCATCTTTTGTAAAGTCTAAAGATACTGGATTGATCCATTCTTGCACCTGAATGCCAAGATCTTTTGCTAATATTTGTAGAGTTGCAGTCTTTCCACAACCAGGAGGACCAGTCAGCAGTAAAAGAGAGCCACCCTGTCACAGGGGAAACAAAAAACCAAAACAAATTGTCAACAGGATAAATAAGGACTGCAAGTTGTGTGGTGATGCACATTGCTTGAATATGTTCTATAGTTTCTCTGGTGATGATTCTCTTTTCCCAATATAAAATGAGATAAATATTTTCTGTTATCAATTTACCTGTTGATTAATTCAGACAGAAAGAGCTAGACCAGAACTTAGAAAGTCTTACTTTCAGTTTTCAATGTATCTGTTCAGTTAACCGCACACCATGTAGACTACCAACATAATAGATACTCGAGAATCAGATCTGAAAAATACTAAACAACACTGGTAAACTATGGCCACGTGTAAGACTGCCTCTTATCAATTCAAGAGGTTAAAAGCATCCTATTACATCAAGTCAGTGCAACTAGAAATTTGCAAAGATACTTAAAATCAGTCTCTGGGAGATAAAATGCAGTTACGAGCACACACTGAAAAAGTATGAACTCACCAAATGCTTGAAAATAGTATTTCTGAGCAAAACCGCAATCCACCTCCTAGTGGCGTAAACTGAAAACAAATGTACAAGCTCCAAACTCTGCTCTTAATAGATTTCTTATAGAAGATACATACTCACTACCTACAAGTTAAGTTTTTCTTCGAAATTCAAATAAAACTGAATCCAACTCATTTGTATAGTTTTGTATCTCTAGCTGCTAATTTTACCAAGATTACCTGCTTTGGCTGCCTCTGAAATATGTGCATTTTTAACCAGGTTTCAACTTCTTCAATTTTCTTCTTTTGCACAGCAAGGTCATTCTAAAACAAGGTAAAAATATATGAAATGCATATACACACCTCTCGGTTTCTAAGACTGTAAAGATGAGATTCAAGAACAGAATATCTGCTGACTAAAATATTAACAGACATGCACATGTATATCCCAGTCATATAAGTCTATGCTACATACAAATAAGGATAACCATTTCAGCCTGTTTCCAGAAACAACCTATTTTCTGTTACTTACAGTGGGGAAATAATGCATTACTTTTTATTCCTAAAGTAACAACATGACAATCTTGCTTATCTGTGTCAGTACACTTCATAGTTATTGCTAGAGCTGGCACTTTTTAGGATCTGACTCTAATAGTACGTAAGTTTTTGGAACTCGGGCACATCTCATGCAGTTTATCCCTCTCCTAGCCCTCTGACTCAACTGCTCTCCAAAGATGAGCTACTAAATATTTAAATATAAAATACAAGTACTACACTAACTTACTTATATCAGCCAGCACTAAAATCTAGCAGACAGTTAACACACGTCCTAACACTTTCAAAACACCCTGTGAAAAAGCTGTTCTGCAAGCAGAACCAGTGAAGACAGGTTTACTACAGATTTGAGTCCTTTCTCCTTGGAGCCGTAAGGTAGCGGAGTACCCCCCACTCACAAAGCCATGCCTAACATGCACGAAGCAGGAGATAGCTCAGACATGCTAACAGGCCAGGTAACTGCTGTACAGTAACACGCAAGACAATTTCTGCTATCTTTCCCCAGATGACTGCACTAACTCGGTGCACTCCCCTAGCTCTCTCTCTTCTTTAGCTGTGGATTTTGCTAGTACTTGGAGATGTCAGATCTGGCTGAAGTTCACTAACAGGTTCAAAAGTTTAGGAGTGGATGGCCAGAAAACTATCTCATCAGCAGCTTTATCTCCTCAGGGGAAAAAAAGTGTCTCCTATGGAAAAACAGCTCATTAAAATCTTAACTACAGGCAGTAAATAAAACAAACTAGTACTTCATTGTCCTAATAAAACAAGACATACTCAGAACCTGATCAATACAGGTTACGAACAGAAGCACAACACTCTACACTATAAGGTTACTACACGAGCACATAAAATAACTCTCACACCTGATTTTCAGGTCTGTATCTATCTACCCATGGCTCATCTTGAGACTGGCTCCAGTTTTGTCTCGACTTGTTACAGGGCAGATCTACTGGCGACGACTTTGCTCCTTTTCTGAGCAGAACTTTGGTTTTGCTACTTTCTTGCACAGAAGACAGGTCCTTCCTCCTCTTCTGCTGTCGATTTCTTCCAGAGTTGCCTTCTAGTGGCTTCACAGGAATGGCACTAGAAGAAATATTTGTGTTTCCAAAGAAGTCATCAAATGAATGTGCCAACCAATCTGTCACCTGGTAAAATACAAATATTTTGCTATTAATGTAGCACTCTCCTCCCCTAACTAAGTACATTTGTCTCTAGAAAATTTGGTGTTTTCATCAACTGTACATAAGAATACCTCAATAGATGCAAAGAACTTTTGCAGCATTGAAAGCCATAATACTAGTTAGCAACAAACAGGAGGACTTACACTTTTTGAATGGGTAATTTACATGTTTCTTCAGTATTAAAAAACTACACCTCAAACACTGTCATAAAGAGTATTTCACAACAGATTGGCAAATGAGAATAAGCTGAAAATTCTACAAACACATTCAAAATAAGTAAAAACAGATCTACGAATGAAAAAATACCATGAGCTTACGTATATCATTTTTCCATTAATGTCAAGTTCATGCTGACTCTGCACAGAATTATTTTTCTTAACATTAACAATGCAACCATTTGTGCTGAAAGCTTAGAGACTGGTAATGCAGAAAAATTATTTAGGCAGCACAGTAAAATCAAGTATTATTATTTGTTTGCTGTATGAGGAAGTTTAGAGTGATCTAGAATCAGACTGTCACATGTATCAGAAGTCTGTCTGACAGTGGCAAGGAATGAAACTGTTAAAAGTGTCAATATTTAATTCCGGATTTGAAAAACACCCTGCTAGTACAGCTGTAAAAACTTACATCCCAGAACCACTTCTTCAGCCTACCTATGGTTCCAAAAAAATATCATGGTGGTCACATACTCTCCTCTGGTAACAACCACATGATAAACCTTTTGCATAGGAACTGTAACAGGCTACAAGCTGAAATGCATTTCTGTGAAAATGAGAGTAACAGAATAAACACGTCATCTCCAGAAAAGGTGTCTGTGGATCCTCTACGACTTACACATCCTACAAATCAATTGCAACAATTAGAAGAGAAGAGATGATCTGAGAGGCTTTGGGAACTGGAAAGAGGGTTTGTCTCTCCGCAGTTTGCTTTTAACGTTATTCTGACCACAACTAATTTTAGTTGAATTTGCATATTTGCTAGCGGGCCTGCACCGCCGTGTGAGAGAGCTTCCTTTTCACCAGAAACTAAGAAAATAAAGATCTTATACATTAAAAAAAAACAAAACAAACCAAAAAACAACACATCACTCACCGTGGAAATATCTGGCCTACAAATACCTGTAAGCGGAGCCTTCAGCTTCTTCTCGAAAGCTGCACATGCCTTCTGGGGGGACACTTTGGGCGCAGGCCGCCCCGGGTGGCGGGACGGCGCCCGGGAACCCCTCACCCCTACGCT